GCGGGGCAAAGTTTTGAAACATTTTTGGAGCAGTGACATATCACAGAAGTCTGGATCCAAAACATCGTTGCTCTAGCTCTTATAGTCTTTGAGCACTATGCGCTGAAGGGGACGGACAGACGGACAGACGGACGGACGGACAGACAGACAAGGCTCAATCGACTCGGCTATTGATGCTGATCAAGAATATATATACTTTATGAGGTCGGAAACGATTCCTTCTGGACGTTACACACATCCACTTTTACCACAAATCTAATATACCCCAATACTCATTTTGAGTATCGGGTATAATAAAAATACCACTACAATTACTAATTACTAATTACTAGAAAGATGTGTAAGGATTAGTAATTTAATAAGAGGAAGAGAATTAGTGGTGGATATGATATGGCAGAGGGAATTATAATCCGAGCATAAGACCCTAAACGGTTTAGTTAAGGAATAATTCGATCTACAAAGTGGAAGGAACAACGGTATAAAACTTCTAGTAAGTCTAATAGGGATCGTGAAGTTTATGCGGCTTAACAGTTTAGGGCTGTCTATGTCACCCCTGATCAAGTTGTGCATAAAAATCACATCAAGCATTTTTCTACGGTTAACTAAGGGGAATAGGAGGTTTACTAATAGCAGTCTACTAGAGTAAGATGGGAAGAGATGCGGTTGAAGAGGCATGGTTTTTGCCCTCCGCCACTTTAAGAGGAGTACCGAGCTCCTTTGCGGTGTTTTTAATATTTAAATTTGAGTTTGGCATTGTTGGTCCCACGAGTAGACGGGAAGGGTTTAGTCACCCGGGGCATAGCCCGCGTGCCCCGGGAAGTCTGATGTAAAATGGAGGTCTACAGGTATCCCGAGTTCGCATATTAACAACCGAGCAACCCCTCGACCATGCATCCTTCGGCATATGACAGTGTCACCTTGGATTGGGGTTATTTCACTGAGAGTTTTCTTCTCTCCGCCCGACTACAATTAGTAAGCATCCTGGCAGAGACATGACCGTACCAGGACCTGTTTCCAGCCGCCCTCACGGGGAGAGTATAGTCGCACTTCCAGCAGTGTGTACAGTTACGGTGGGGTCCGATTCTCTCGTGACCCCCTGTATCCTAGGGCGTAAAGCACAGTCGCCTCGGATTCAGGACAAGCCAAGAACCAGAGACGCCTGTGCCCCGTTCCGAGATTACAGTTGCGACAAGCATGTAAACGTCCTTTCTAACGTTGTTAACATCGTAATAGTCTTCTACCATCCTCTGAATAATGTCATCCAATCATACAGCTAGGAGGCAGGTCCGCGGTGAAGGCATGTTTGATTTCCCGCTTACCGGCCCAAAGACAACCCAGCCCAGCTCAGTTGCAGCCGCATATGGTCCCTGTCCGGCAAACAGTCACGATCTAATTGGAAATCCCAAATGTCCGTGATCCAGTCCAATGAATATCTTCGTCACTGCGTTTGTGTGGGGCCTAATTGGCAGGCTAGCATTAGGTTAGGTTAAGGCGGTAGCCGGGAGGGGGGGGGATAAGAGCCTCCCGCCCCCAAGCTCACTTGGACCTATAAACAGGTCCGTTGTGTTGCCGCATGGGCATGTGCCCCTTCGCGTTGCCCGAACCGTGAGAGCATACTACTGCAGGTTAAGGGCAGTCCCATCCGGTGGCTTGGATGTATTTGGACAAGGTCCCTGGTTTGATTACGGATAGGTCCGAAATGTCCGTGAGGAAAGCGGCCCCGAGTATGAAGACGACGATTTCCAAGGGCTGGGCAGTGGCAGAAGAAGTGGGGGACCGATTCCTCCTCCTCCTCGTCGCGACAACTCCTGCAGAAGTCGTTATGAGGGATTGACAGTCTAGAGGCGTGAGTGCCGATCTGCCAGTGTCCCGTAATGGCTCTAGTAACTGCAGAGCACTGTGCTCTGCTGAGTTTATACAGCTCTGCTGAGCGCTTCTTCGATCGATATGGCCATATCAATCTTGAGACTTTACAGGAAACGGTTTGCTGCCATCTCCTATTGGCATTTTGCTCGAACAATTCGTGCGTTAGGAGCCTGCACGTAGCCAAGGGCATCGCTACTTGCTCCCTCTCCGATGGGAGAGGAATCGTAGTACCCTGGCTGGCTAGCTCGTCGGCGGCGTCATTCCCCTCGATGTCCCTGTGGCCGGGGACCCATATAAGGAAGAGATCTAACTGCTCTGCGATCTCGTGCAGAGACCTGCGGCAGTCATTTACAGTCGCTGAGTTCGACGATATTGAGCCTAGAGCTTTGATAGCTGCTTGGCTGTCCGAGAAGACGCACACTAAGTGCGTATCTAGGAGTAGTTTGGAGACGATCGAAATGGCCTCCTTGATGGCTTCAACCTCCGCTTGGAACACACTACAGTGATCCGGGAGCCTGAAGCAATGACTGATGTTCAGCTCGTTGCAGTAGACTCCGCCTCCCACGCGGCCGTCTAGCTTTGAGCCATCAGTGTAGAAGTGGACCGCATTTGCAGGCCCTGGTTCGCCCATCTCCCAGTCCTCCCTAGATGGGATTGATACCTGGAAGGGCGTCGAGAGGTGATCACTGGGGATACAGTAATCTGTCCTCTCTGGTAATTGCGGGAGTCTCATCAGTCTGGCTTCTCGCATTCGGAGGGCGGAAAGTGTTGCCACCTTCTTTCCCATGAGATCAACCGGGAGGAGGTCCAGCACAGTATCCAGGGCTTCCCCTGGAGTAGTGCGTAGCCCGCCAGTTATGCATAGCTCTGCCATGCGTTGAACTCTGCTGAGTTTATTGAGGCCTGTCCTTTTGTCCAAGGCTGTGTCCTAGGGGGGGTGTGAGACGCAGACCGCACCGGGTATTACTAACCGGAGCGGCTGCGCCTCAGTTCCGAGTTCACAGTTGTGCGAGCCGACCCGTCATCCGTTTGTCCCCTTGTAGCACCCGATGGCTGACGGCCCCTAGGCTAGCATTAACGCCTTAAACATCTCGTCGGTGTAGAGTCAGCATCGGCTTGCTCAGGCTCGAAACGGAATACACGTTTCACAACGCATAGCGAATTGGCTTGCCTGTTCCACGATGGTTAGCTCCCTGGAGAATCCACCTCCAAACCACTGAATAGGATCTAGTCATATGAGCACTTCGTAGGCATAAAGAGCATAGTTAATGCCTCCTCACGTACCTCCACCTGTCTGGCGGAGAAGCTCCGCTGAAGTCCCTCAGCCTTTAACTGCATGTTGCCCTCCACAGATTGGACAACCTCTGAGACGGCTCTCTTGTTGCTCGCCGCGGTATTGGTCGATCCCTGCATGTAGCAATCGGCGCCTTGGTTCCCACCCTTCGATGTCCACGATAGTACACACCACGATAGCGCACCACGCACTAAAATGCACAATAGTTGGGAAAGGTATAATCGTCACAGCATGCCTTGCCCACTCCACTCGCTTGCTTGTACGGAGTTTGGCCACAAGTTCTTCCAGAAGTATTGGGTTGTTTAAATGCTGATCTGCCCTCGTTGACTGCAAGAAGGCAGTGAGATTACTCACACGGGTTGCAAAGGGAATAATCTTCGTCAGGCTGTGCTCCGAAATATTGGGCACCTCTCGTATTCCACTGAGCTGGCTGCGTATAAGCTACTCCGGTCGACCATATCTGAAACACAGCTGCTCCACAACAGCTCTCACGTTGCTCGGATGAATCAAGAAAGACTTGACACTCTCGCGGTGAAGTGCTTCAGTGCCTTCAACACGCGTTGGTTGTTCTCCAGATTTGTACAGTTGTACGCTTGCGTTGTCTCAGTATATGTACAAAGAAAGGTCGCCCAACCCTCGGGCTGACCTTCAAAGGCAGATCAGGAAGCTTGCGGGGCATATAGTTGCCACTGCTTCCATTTGGTGTCGTTCAGACGTACGATCCAGCTAGTGGCGTCGGCGTCGTGACGTTGCAGATGCCTACACACGGCGGCACGACTCCATGCGCTGTCTGCGCTGTACTGGTTGCGCAAAATGACATAAAATAGCTGCTACTCGCAAGCAGTGGTGGTCCGCTATAAGATGGCGACTGCTCACTCCGACCCCGTTAGGTATTACGTGCTCACATTGTTCTGGGCTCTTGCCTCTTGTCCTTTCCAGCTCCTGCTCCAACAATGCAATTCTCACCAAGAGATCCAGCAGTAGAGGTGGCTCGTTCTGTCCAAGTGCGGAAACTCCTGCTGTGGTCGTAAAACTTCTGGTCGTCAAACTACCAAGGTGACCGTAGTGGTTTGGCTAGGAATCAGCGGAGCCGACGTAACTATTATTTTCGACTTCGGCGGCCTGTTTCCTGCACCACTACTTCCAGATTGCGAAGACGCACTAGTTGTTGTGGGGGTGGATTGCCCATCCATTATTCGGTTACTTCTTCTGGGAGAATTTTGCATCCTTCTATTTCCCAGAAGCTCCAGATAATCGACGCTGCCTGCGTCTGCTTTGGATCGCTTCCTGCAGCCCAGTCCAAATATCCACGCTGGCCGCGTTCCTCTGGGCGCTGCCTGCAGCCCAGCTCAAATCGACGCAGCCTGCATCCCTAGAAATTCTCTAACTGGAGGTGGTTGACTGCCTGTACTCCAGCGCAAATTGCCCTTGCAGTTCCTTGCCTAGGACTGTGAATAAAATATCATGTCGGTGGTCACGCGGAGATGCCTTTAACAGCATCAATCAATCGGCAAGAACAGTTATTGTCGCATGCAGCTGCTGCTGCTGACCCCTGCTGGTTCTGAGCTGCCGCACCGCTGCTATGCTGTTTTATTCTATAAAGTACGTCGATACACAACCTAGCAAAATATTGCCAAAAAATTCTTACCGCAGTATGTCCTCCTGCTTTAACCACGAGACAGTGAAACAGTGAAGCTTAAAACCCTGGCGGCACCTCATGGTAGCTGAAAGTATGCCTGTTCGTTTGTAGCTAGAAATTCACCTTTTATCGATATAAATTAAATACTAGATCTAAAACTACCCCGCCTATATCGGTCAATTATCGTCCGACGACACTTACCATACCCTTTTTACGTTTGGTTTGTTCTTTTTCATGGTTTTATATAGTTTATTTTGTATAACTTTCATTTTATTAGATATAAAGACTTTTTTAATTGATAGAAAATAAAACTAATCACACTTTTATATAATAGTTTCATCCTTAAATTTGTGCATCTGTTCATACCAAATGTCCTCAAAAGTAGTGTCCACCTCACCGCAAAATGTCGGAAATGGCGGAGCTTGCTTCAGCTTCCTCAGGGGCAAAATCGTATCGTATATATATACGAGGCCACCGGTAGGTCCAGGCACTGAGCTACCTTGCACCCACATGACATTGTACTTTGCTTTAGTGCGCCAAATTCGCAGGCCTTTAAGAACACGCCAACGATTACCCATATGACCAGGCATCTTTGTACCAGGCCAGACACATCCCTTTTCGCCACCACCTCCAATGTTACCGGGACGGCGATGAGTCTTGGTAACGCCATGTGAAGCAGGCATGCCCTTGTAGCCGTGTCGCTTGACTACACCTTGGAAGCCGTGGTCCACGCTATAACGAAAAGCCAGACAACTTAAAAGCTATTAGACCATTCATTAATCGAAATATAACTAAAATTCCATTTTAATGTTGCAAAGTTAGATAGTACAGAAAAATTCATCAAGAATTTTGCATTTAAAATGTTAAGCAGGGTTTATTTATACATAGTTGGCAATCACAGTGACACGAAGCTATCTCTCAGTTCGCAAATATGGTTTCACAGTTTCGTGGTGTATGAGCAAAACTCTTATTTGGGCGACACATTGAGAAAAGATCAAATTAGTTTTTGCTCAATTCACTCAAGCAACGACAGATTTTTAGCCTCTTTTGCTACTGTCTTTTACTGGGCAATTTGTCGCGAACAAACGACAAATGTGTCTTGACTGAAATGTGTTGACTATTGACGCTTAAAGGAATTAGCAAAAATCAGAAACTTTGCAAATCTATACAAATCTTGTATATGTGTAAAGTGTTGTTAGTGCCGTCGTCTCGACCGGACACAAAAAACATATAACACAAGCGAAGACAGAAAATGTTTTGCTCAGTGAGAGAGCGAGTGTACGTGGTTTTCTGTTTTGTCAGTGACTAGACCGACCACACAGGAAAAAAGTTTTGACCGTTATTTTCGAGCTCTGATCAAAACACTTTTAATTCATAGTTTTTGAATTTCTGATTTGTCTTATTTATTATATTTGGTAATTGTCGGGTCAAGCAGCTTAAATATTTTAAATTATTGCCAGTGGTGCGGCCCAAAGGAAATGCATTTTGGTGTTGTCGTTTCCAATGCCCCCACTGCAAAGATCATTTGCTACCGCATATGCGCATGCAGCGGAATTCTTTCGTCTCCTTATGTCGCAATCTCTCGGACTCGGCTTAACAGCGTCCCCGAGCAGCTCTAACGCTCTCGGGCTATCATACTCTCTCGCTCGCGTCTAAGCTAGCTGCATAGGGCCCGGCCATTTGTCCCGTCAGCCCTTGCATTTTCAGTCTTGAGCTAATCGTCGCAGCTATTAGATTAACATCCTCGCATCAATCGTTCGCCCAATCATCCCCATATGTACATACGCGATAAGTTGGTTTACATATGCAAATAAATTGTGAATTATAAACAGCCTTTCGACTTTCATTAACTTCAAATTGCAACAGTTATTAAAAACGCTTTAAAAAAGTAGAAAAGTTTTTCTAATGAATTAACCGAAAACTTTGGGTGGCTGTAATTTAAATTATTTATTCGGCGGGGCGAAAAATTGATACGCTCGATTTATTTCAATGTTGGCGAACAACTATATTTCCTTCACAATTCAAATCTCTTACTCTAGCTAACCTACGGTGGCAAAGCGGGGCGAATTCGCCAAGAGCGAGAGAGCGAGCTTTTATTGCGCTCCCGCTTTGCCCTAGCCTAACTTACACTAGACTTCATAATTAAGATCAATAACTAATAATCGCCGCCATGGATGGAAGGTCACGCAACACCGGCCCCGTTGAACGCATGCATCGGCTTCAACACATTGGGAGCGGCGCTAATTTGTATGTATGGCCCGCCGAAAAACCGCTCCAGTGCTAGTCCTTATTTCGACGACCCTGACCATGCCGTCCTCTCCTGCGTGCGTGGCGATGACCATCCCCACGAGCCACTCCTGAGGCGGCAGATTGTCCTCGGCCACGATGACGAGGTCTCCTTCCTCGGGGTTCGGTTGCTGGTGCCATTTGCCCCGAATTTGCACCCCCAGGACATATTCGCGGGACCATCGCTGCCAAAACGCTCGCCTGACTGACGAGACAAGTCGCCATCGCCGCAAACAACTGAGACTCTCCTGGTCCGGAGTCCGCAGTGCTGGGGGGGCGATGAGCGACCCGCCTGTCAGCAGGTGACCGGGTGTTAGGGCCTCGCCATCGCTGGGATCTTGGCTGATGGCTCCCAGCGGCCTCGAGTTCATTATGGCCTCGATTCCGACGAGGACTGTGGCGAGCTCTTCGGCGGCTAGGAGCGCGCTGCCTACCGCCCGTAGGAGTAGGCCCTTGGCAGTTTTTACACTTATCTTCCATAGCCCTCCCATGTGAGGAGCTCGCGGCGGTATGAACGCAAATTCGCATCCGTTTTTTGACCCGAAGTCGCGAATTGTGTCTCCCTGCTCCTTGAGCCTGATCCGCAGAGCGCTGAGATGGCGGCTCGCTCCGACGCAGTTCGTCCCGTTGTCGCAATGAACGACTTGGGGATATCCTCGGCGCCCGACGAACCTTTGGAAAGCCAACAAAAAACAGTCAGTGGTTAGATCGGAAACTATTTCTAGGTGAACCGCCTTGGACGCAAAACAAACAAAAAGCGAAATGTATGACTTGTATCCTTCCGCGAATTTTCAATGTCGTGTGCACTGGTCCACAAAAATCAACGCCGCAAATTGAAAATGGGCGGAGAGCACGGAGTCGATCTGCGGGTAAATTCCCCATGAGTTGCGTCAGCAATCGAGGCTTGTATTTAAAACAGCGCATACACGATCGAACTGTCTGACGGCAGACCTCCTGAGCGTTCACTATCCAAACGCTCTGTCGAAGGATGCTCACAAGTGCTCGTGGGCCGACATGAAAATTCGAATGGTGCAGATGACGAATATAGCTTCGCACGAATGGCGAGCGCTTAGTCAAAAGCAGAGGAAACTTGGCATCGTATGATATAGGAGCTTTGGCTAGTCGCCCCCCCACTCACAACAACGAAAAGTTGCACCAAGTCCCTGTGTCTTCATGGATGAAAGGGTTCAACCGCTGAATACTAGGACCAATTGTAGATCCTTTCCTAACCTTTTCGATTTCTCCTTGATACTCGTGATGCTGGACGATTTCGACAATTTTATAAAAGGCTTCATTGTATTCGGTCGGTGAGATAGTTTTTTCGAAATTTAGGCTTGGGTCTTTACATTTTCTTATAAAGCGGAACACATACACGAACACTCTAAACAGTTTGAGGTGTGACGAGAATCCCTCGATGACATCTAACAGCTCCGAACTTCGCACAGCAGCGGTCAGCCCGACCGCAGTCTTCCTCTTTTCCAGCTGAATATCATCGGAGTGTTCGAATTGAGCGTTCTTGGGCCAGTTTTCTTCTTCCTCTTTCAGAAATTATGGTCCTTCGAACCAAATTGACTGAACGATTTCGTCGACGTCGCAACCTCTTGAGACAATATCTGCTGGGTTCTGTTTCGTGGGTACATGCCGCCACGTAGCATCATCTGACCACTCTTGAATCTCAGCCACTCTATTTGAAACGAAAGTCGACAACGACAATGAATGAGACCGGATCCAATGAAGAGTTACCTCTGAATCCGACCAATAAACGACTCGTTCAATGGGCACGTTTAATAGGGGCTTGATTCTGTGACAGAGATCTGCGAGAAGGTGAGCGGCACATAACACAAGCCTTGGGAGCGTTTTGGTCTTGAGCGGCGCTACTTTGGATTTCGAAGTCAACAATGTTATTTTTAAACCTTCTGCAGTTCTGCTACGTATATAGACGCACGCTCCATACGCTCTCATGGAGGCGTCAGCAAAGGCATGTATTTGAACCGGTGACATCGGATCGGAATACACAAACCGAGATATGGATTTGTCTTCCAATTGAGATAGTGTAGTTTTCAACTTATTCCACGCTGTTTCCAAATGCAGCGGGATCGACTCATCCCAATCTAGTTTGTTAAGCCAAAGCTCCTGCAATAGGATCTTGCCTTTTATAACGATAGGACTTAATAAACCAAGGGGGTCAAACAACTTTGATGTCACCGATAGTATGTTCCGTTTTGTCGCTCGGAGACCCATAACTGAATTGTCAATTTTGAACTTAAAGGTATCGTCAGTAGGTAACCATGAGATTCCTAACGCCTTTGTCGACTCTGAATCCGAGATTGTTATGGGTTTGGCTGTGCTCTCAGATGCGGTGATCTCGGGTGAGTTTGAAAACCACTTAGTCAACTCAAACCCTGCGGTATGAAGAACCTGAGACACTTCGGACTTAATTGCCCTTAGCTCCTCTACGCATGCAGCACCAGTCAACAAGTCATCGACGTAAAAGTCGGACCCAATAACGTTAGCAGCTCTAGGGAATGAGAGCTTCGCAGACTCACTCAACCTTTTCAAACACCGGATAGCTAAGAATGGGGCTGGTCCAGTCCCATAGGTTACAGTGTTGAGCTTGTATAATCTCAAGGATTCAGAAGGGTCTCTTCTCCACACTATGAGCTGAAACTGCCGATCCGCTTCGTTCACCATCACTTGGCGATACATCTTTTTAACATCAGCAGTCAGGGCAAACCTATGCAGACAGAAACGGAGCAGTGTCGAGTATAATTCCTCTTGAATGGTAGGTCCCACCATCAGAATGTCATTTAAGGCCACCTGTGAGGACGTCTTGGACGAAGCATCGAACACGACTCGGAGCTTGGTATACGTACTTTGGGGCCTCAGAACACACTGATGAGAGATTACGTAGTGTGGAGTAGAAGGAATCGTATTGTCAGTAGGAGACATA